AATATGTGCATAGTTCCAAAACTGTGCTATATGCTGCAAGTCTCCAGATTCACGAAAAAGACGATTGATGATCTACAAGCACCAATATTAGTTTTGACAAAACATAGAATGGAGCTAGCAAGAACTATAAGCAATAGTACAATCCTGTATAGAAGCATTGGTAGTTGTAACTCACTATGGAATCGACTTTTAACAAAGCAAGTTTTCAGCCTATACTTGCGGCTAAATATAGCAGGGCCTGAGGAAATACTAACTTCGCTAAGACTAAGTCAAGGTATTCAGCTGCTGGGCGCAGCTGAAAACATTTGATTTGAAGGGCTGCCTGAGACCTGTATACGTCTCTGGAAAAACAACTTGGCCTGCATAACAATGTTAAAGGCCAGAGAGTTAAAGGTTACATTCAAGTTCAACAATGCAGAGTTAGAAACAGAGGACCTCAAATTTAGACTAGCAAATATTCTAGGAAAGAATTTTACTCCACCAGTGGCAACAATGCTTAGGAAACTCAATATAATCTTACTCAAACAACTTTTAACACAGTCTGGAGATTACTTAATAACATGGCAGCAACTGAAGATGCTTAGAAATAGGTCAAGCAGTAGAAAAAGTGCGAAATGGTTTTGTACAATCGAAGAAGTAATAATTGAAGATAAAGAAAGCAGACTAATTAGACTAGAGCATAGACTAGGTGGCTCCAATGCCTGGGTGCTGCAGATTACACCAGACCCATTAAAAGAAGACAGAAGGAAAAAAGAGTGGATTTTGGTCAAAGCCAAAGAAACAAAAGAAAACCATTGCCCAGAAATTAGACGAACTCTCAACAAACCAGAAAAAAGATATTGTACAGAATACTGGAAAGTAAACAAAGAGCCAGTTACAAGAAGTATAAGACTTGAAAGATGTGAAGGTTGTGAACTAGATTAAGAGAAAGAAGAAAACTCCTGCAGAAGCCGAATAAGCAAAGAGAAAATTCAAGGGTCAATAACAAAAATTGTGGACAAACAGAAAGAGAAGGCCCTTAAAGTTCATCACAAAATGCTTTTCTCTCCGGTAACTTATGATAAGCTTCAGATTCCCATAAATGAGAAAGTATTGCAGGACATCCAAATCTATGATTTAGATACAGAGATTATTAGAAACCAACAAATCAACCTGACCTTACAGAATTATCTAATAGAGAAGAACCAAAAACTTCAATGCAGCCTCTTGTCTCAGTTTATTTTCTATACTGATAGTTCTTTAAGAAGAAATAGAAAAATAACTCAAACAGAGGCAGATAAAATGGGAGCAGGTTGGATACTCATAGATGAGGAGAAAGAGGAAATCATTGATGAGGGATACCTTGAAGCAAAAAACTGGCTATCTTCAACTAAAGCGAAGTTATTGGGAATCTGGTGTGTGCTTTTAGTTACACCAAGAAGAAAAGAAGTAAAAATTTATATGGACAGTGCAGCAGCTTTAGCTAAATTAGATAGTAGAAATTAGAATAAACCGGCTAGACAAAAGCTAAGAGTAGGAAATTACAACTTGGTAAAATATATTGCTCATATGTGCGGTTATGATAGGATATAATAATAAGCCGTGATGAATC